AACATTAGGGAGTTGCTTCTCAGCACTAAAAGCTTCAAACTGAATTTTTTTCGCTTTCCATTCTAAGTGGACTGTGTTTTCTCTCTTTGCACTGTCTGCTACATTCTTCCAGATCAGCAGCTTTGACACTTATGTTCTATGGATGTGGAGGGAAGAGTTCCAAATTACCTGAACAGTCATTCAATATATCTTAGATCACTTATATATTTGGAAAGGATAGTCTAGTTTCTTCTTAGGAAATGTAATTACTCCCAGTCTATTTTGATACAGGGGAAGGAAAAAGAATGGGAACAGGATTTGGTGGACTTTCACAAGTCAAGACGGGAATCTCTTGGACCAAGTTCTGGCCTGCCTTAGACATGGCAGCAGAAAGTTTATTTAGAAGCCTTCATAAAATACATGTTTTTTCTGCATTCCATATAAAGAGGCAGTTATTTCTTATATTCAGAATAGAAGCTATCTAGTATATCTGTGGAGACACATAAAAGAAAGCCCATAATATTCAAAGTGGCCATCTAATGCAAAGAAGAGCGTTTGATTATTTAGTTTCTTTATTTGCCCATTTGATTAATTTCCTACCTTCTCTCTAGGAGGGATGTATACTTAATACTTTCTTTTGCCCGGTAAAAAGATAGTAGAAAACACCCCACAGCAGCATTTTGTGAGAGTGATTTCAAAGTACCTACAAATGCTTGATTGAAGCACCATATAAGCCCCAATAAGTAAATTAATTAATTAATTAATAGCTGGTTGGAGACCCCAAAATTATATACTTTTCCTGTTTGTGTGTTTATTACAGTTTAATGCCAGCGTTCTTCCCATGAGCTTAAGCAGTTCACAAAATGCTCTCCCATCCCTTTTGATCTCTAAAAGAGGAAAATTAGGCTGAGTGATGATGACTCGCCCAGTACAATCCCCAGATATGCAGGTAATCAATCTCTCCTCACAATGTATAGAGAATGTTCTGCCTCAGCTCTTCAGGAATCAACATCCTAGGGTCTTCGAGTTATTCCAGTGCTTCATTTCCTAAAAGAAAAAAAATTAAGATGGCTAAAACTGGAGACTGTGATGCAAGCCCTGCCCCTTTTGAACATATGTGGGATGGGGCTTGCATCACAATGCTTTGTCCATCATCTTGCCAATTTGGATGCACACACCCTACTGACACGGCTGAGGGATACAGTCCGGTGTGTGCATATGTGGGCATACATACACATGCATAGTATTGTAGTAGCAGCAACAATGGCCATATGTAAGCTTGGTTTCACAGATTTTTTCATTAGCTGGAATAGAAAAATAGCTGAAAGTCATAGATCAAGCAAGAGAGCAAATTAGGTTACATGGGAATGATAAAAAAATTGCCTAGCTGATAATGGTCTACTTACATGGCTGAAGACATTTGCATTGCTGATAATCTGTTTGCAAAGCTGGTTACAAGTATCTGAAAACATTTTGCAATTTACCCAAGTATTCACTGGAGGGTTACAGACAGTTGGGTTTACTGTGACTGAATGATAACAAAAAAGGAAAAGTTAACCCTTGAATGGCGATTCAGTCTCTTGCAGATACAGAATTGCCACTGTTTTGCAAAAGAAATCAGTCATAATTAAAAGGAAAATAATTCTAGAAAAGCCCACTTTGATCAGCCTTCCTACATAACTGAGATTATAATTGCCATCTTAAGCCCCAAAGTCAAAAGTGTAAGGCAAGGCCCATAACTGATTGATATAATAAGAGTCCCCCATTAGGGGGAGACGGGCAGAGATATATCTAATAAAAATAAATAAATAAATAAATAAATAAATAAATAAATAAATAAATAAATAAAGCATTCTTTGCATGCAAATCATGTTCAGTA